AAAATCAACGTAATGATTTTTAAATTTCGAAATTCTGGTATAAATTTAAAAATTTAGATTTTAATTACCATAAATATCTTCTCTGAGTGAGTGAGTAAGTGAGTGAATTTCTGAGTGCTGAAAATTTGGGGATATACGTTAAAAAATTTTTTAGATATCATTTTTAAAAATTTTGACCACAGTTCTTTTAAATTTTTAAGCTTGTATTTTTCAAATTTTATCACAATCAAGGTTCAAAATTTATAATACTGAAACTCAGAGTTCTATTTTGACGAGTAGATTTATATTGTCAATTTTAAGCCAAAAATTGTCGGACTTTTGACATCAACCTAGAAGTAATAGCCTCGGAAGTTTCGATTTAAAAATTTCTAATATCACAATTTGAAAATTTTGTTACAATTTCCGTTTTAATCCGAAAATTTTTGCCACTTGACTTTCAGAACTCGACGTTTTGGTTCTTCAAATTTCTAAATTCTGGTGGAAATTTAAAAACATATTTTTTTTTATCAGAACTTATGTCTTTGAGTCCCGAAAATTTGGAGAATACATACATACATGCAAAAAATATTTTTTTATCATTTAGATTAGAGTTATATATAGCCCTTTTTTTTAATTTCAAGTTGCAAATTTCAAAATGCTGAAACAGTTTTTGAAAGTCAAACTTTGAAATATCAAGATAAACTGAATTTTTACCCTACTATTGTACTTAAAAAACAATCTTTAAATATCATTGTTGAAACCTTATTACATTCAGATTTCGAAAAATGTGCTTTCGTTTCGACGTTTAGACTTCAAATATTCTCGGAGCCAATGTACATTACTGAAATTAAATATTTAATTGGGTTAAATAATTTATGTAAATTAATTTAATTTAAAGTGAATTATCACGGACCTCCAGTAGAGGGAGAGCCACATTTGGAGGTGAATGAATATTTACTCTGCAATTGGCTGTAGCTGTTGGACCGTCCTTGGTAACGAATATTTGTAGATTATTATTTGCTTTTCAGCAGGATAAAAAATTTCTCGCAAGAGTCTACTTTGCGGAAGCTAAAATTCTTCCGACAGAAGGACTAAAAAATTTGCTTTCTCATCCGTCAACACAAAGGCCCCTTCCAATCAAAGTTCCATATTCAAAACCCTGTCTTGACCCTCCCACTTCCGCGTCTCCCCGATTTCTCAATTACAAGCACCTCTGCCCTTTCCGAGCCCTAAGCCCGCATCTAAATCTCCCTCCGCGAATCCCGCCTCAAGTAATCAAAAAATACTGCCAGTACAAGAGCGTAATAAGACCACACCGATCTCCTTTTCCTTCACACTCAACCTAATTACAACAACACCGTTCGCATTAAAATCGCAATAACAATAAATAATCATTAAATCAACAATTTGGGTCGCGTGTTCCTTTTAAAAAAGCTCGCCGCTTGGACGAAATGAAACCACATTTTAACGCGGAGGCACGTTTGCATAATATTGTTTGTTCTATTTCGTTTCTTTCATCCCAATTAACCGGTCGACAGTTCCAATTTGAGGAACGCAAATGAAAAGGGTTCTCGGTGGCTTTGTCAGGAGACGAGCCGTACTCAATATTTTCTCAACTAATATTTACTAATTAGTATCGCTTCGTTACCGAGAACTGAGCTTTATACGCTCTTTTGTGTCGGAATCGGGATAAAATTCGCCTCGGGGCGATATTATGCGGGAGAATTGTGGCCCTTTGATGCCTTGTAGCTTGGAGAATCTGGGAGCCGTGTTTTATGGGGGAAAAATTTGACATTCGAGGAGTTCGGGATTATTTCGATACTTGAATTGGTCAGGGAATAGGGCACGACGATGCGCAACAGATGGCAACATATAGCTGTCCTTTATATTTTACGTCTGGTTTGACAGTTGGCATTTTTTGTGACCGTGCTGACGACTCTGCGTTACATACAATATTCAAAACTGTTTCATTGTTTTACTGCGTTTTTAAGATTTCTGTCACGATTACAATTCAGTTTTTTTTTAATCGGCCCATTTTCGCGCCACTTTAAAATATAAGTAGGTATTTCAAAAATCTACGTTGCACATTTTCTATCAAAGCCAGCTGATAATTATAACAGGGGAACCATACCATTATTCTAATTTAGTACGAACTAAAGCAAACTACAAATTTTTCAACCTGTCTATATTAACAAATCCATAAAATTTCTAATTATACATCCGAGGACTATTTAGCAGATTTGCAACATGCTGCTTAAATGAAAACTGGGCGTCGTACAGAACCTAAATTCTAAAAGTTGTTTTTTTTTTCTGAAATATAGTAAGTTATCTAACTTATAGTCATACTTGATGGGACTAATACGTAACGAATATGTGACAATTCTACATATGTCTTTATTTAATGGTAATTCATTATTATCTGGCCAGCCATACATGCAGTCAATGTCCTTTTGTAACAACACACAATTATTGACGCTATTAATTATCCGAAACATTTTAATATCATCCACAAACAGCAAGGGTTTATAATAATTTGTTGACTCTATAACATCATTAATATATACATTAAATAATAGAGGGCCTAATGTAGAGCCTTGTGGAACCTCAGATGTCGTTTTATAAAACTCAGATTTATAGTCGTTTATCAGTACAAAGTTACTTCGACCTTCTAAATAGGAATCAATTAGATCCGATTGGCTCATGAAAATCCAAAAAACTGTAAGCTTACTCAATAATAGATAGTAATTGGCTTTGTCGAATGCCTTAGAGAAGTCAGTATAACATCTAACTAACTTCTGTTATCTAACGAGTCTGGTATGGCATAATGACATAGAAGTAAGGTTAGACACAGTTAAACGACCTGCAGTAAAACCATGTTGGTGCTCAGTCAAGAATGCTTTTATTTGAAAACTAGCTTGATTATAACTTACAATTTCAAATATTTAAAAAAAAAATTACAAAGCAATGAAACCGGTCTATAGTTCCTAACGTAGGTCACCGCTCTTAAAAACAGAAATAATTTTTGCAAGCTTCCACAATTCAGAAAAACACGACTTCTTTAAGATTCATTTAAAACAGTTAAAGGTTCACAAAACATGACTGTCCTTAAATTTTTTGATCGCTTTCGATACGTCCGATTCAATAATTGTAAGATTTATGTTAGTGTTAAAAAAAATAAGCCATGAAATTTTTTCTTCAAGTTGGATCAACTGATTCATAGAGAAAACGGTTTGTTTGCATGAGACTGACGTTCACTTAAAGCAGACTTGTCACGTTCATTGTTATTTAGAAATCATATTATCAAGTTGCAACATTTCTGACTTGTGTTATTAAAATTTAAAATGGCGAAAATTATTTTGTTATAACAAAAAATTTCAAAAAAAAGTCATATTTACAAATGAAAAAAAGATAGTCCCCAACTCGAGCGCGATGAGTTGATGTTGAGAAAAGTGAACATATTTTCTCTGACTTTTATAGAACAAAAATACCGCGTGATCAGAAATGATTAAATTTGTTGTCAATCCTAGATTTTTATTTGAAATTGATATCATGATGTTTTATATAATTTCCGGTTGTCAGCTGTCAAGATTGACAGATTGTTGACGTTTTTAATTTGCAAAATGTATCCGAAACATAACCTAAATTTATGGCATACCACGACTGACGTATCTATCACACAATTATTTCTGTTATGCCAACATAAACGCAAGAAAAGTTCACATTTTTGTTTAAAAAGTACTGCCAACAGACTCAGTCATTTCTGATCACGCGTATAACGAAAAAAATTAATACTTTACAACAGACACACTTTAGGCTGATTCGCGAGAACATTTAAAATTTAAAGGGAGACAAACAACCATGCACAAAATTCTCAAGTCGAAGGGTTACAAACATGTTGTTGCAACAAAATTGCTTTTTTTTTTAATTCCTCCAATTTCAAAATTCTTGTGACTCTAAAAAGACATCATTATTTCACTAGATGAATCTAATTCAGAGTCAGAATCATAGAACGATGATGATAACTCAAATTTTTCCAGTGAAATTCTAAAACAATACTTGCCACAGGATGCTTTTTTTTAACTTTAGAAATGTTTTAACTGAAAGGAACAAATATTACCATTGTTTAAATGACCATTTTGTTTAATGTTGTATCATTTTATATTCATTATTGCATAGTTCTGGATCTCACTGCATATGTACGAGCCTTAACAACTCAATGTTCGGACACGTATTCTTCTATACAAAAAAAAAAATAATAATAATAATTTAAGAAAAAAAATATATTTTCAAAAAGTAAAAACTACAATAATATATAAGCAGGTATATTTAATGCAATATTCTCAACTAAAATTATAATAATATTAACTTGACAAAATGATAACAACAAAAAGCTCGAATAAACTTGGCAACTAAATATTCGGACATGAGTATTTTTTTTTTACTTAGTATGGTGTAATATCTCCTTTTGCTTTGATTACTATGCATGTCCGTCCAGGTATGGTACTTACAAGACTACTGCAGTATTCAGGAGTAAAATTTGCCCAAACTTCGTCGAGTTTTGGCTTAAACCTAAGAGTGTTCGTTGGGGGTTGTTACGCAAACCAGATTTTATGACGTGGCAAAGTGTCTCAATGACATTTAAGTCAGGGCTGTTTGCAGGCCACGAAAGGACTCTTATGTCATGACCCCCAAACCATTTCTTAGTACTTTTTGTGGTATGACATGATGCACCCTCCTGTTGAAAAATATAATCGTTGTCCGGATGCAGTTTTTCAACAGTTTTTCTAAAATTTGTTGGCATTTCATGGCGTTAATAGTCGTTACCAGCAATTCATAATTCCCCAACCCTTCAGTTGACATGCATCCCTACAGCATTATTCCTTTAGGAAACTTTACAGTCTGTATTGAACGCTTCACTTTTTGATCTTATCACTCTTCTCCGCAAATTTCCCACGCACACATCAAATTTTGACTCGTCACTAAAAATGACTTTTGACCAATCTTCTACGGTCCATGCCAGCTTAGACGTTGCCTAGTTGTACCCATTTTTCTTTTGATTTGCCGTTATTAAAGGTTTTTCTTTGGCCTGTAACGGCACGGTGGAAAAATGTCAGTGTTTGACCTTGTGCTTTATTAATGGTCATTGCGAAGCAGACCTTCAGGGGGAACTGCAATCTTTTGAATTCGAATGGGTATTCTGACGGTATTAAAGGTAATCGTGGTATAAATACATTTTCCCCTTGAGCACATCCCGTGATTATCGTAGCCTCTACAACATTCCGGTGGAAAGCCGTTATTTGCAATCTGGTGCCATTGCAGAACTTTGGAGAGTTCAAGTTCCTTAATAGCATAACTGGTGGGCCAACCGTAAGTGTGACATTATGACGGGGAAGAGCAGCTGGCTTAAGGGTGTTTAAAAACTCGACTGGATAATTTATAGCATCACCAGTTTGTATGTAGTACCGAATCCACGAATTTATATTGAATTTCTTCTCCTTCAAATGATTTTAACAAAACATCATTAATACTAGCCGCTCTGTCATTTTTGAGGGTCAAAACAGCACGCTCGCATATCCAGTCTATGGGTTTGACCTTGATATTGTTGATGTCGGGGTAAACTTTGTTGGTTAGTTCTGTAAGAGATTTTACTACCGCACCCAGACTTGGTAGTATAATAATCTTACTATCAACTGTAGGGTAATTTCCATCTCCTATTTGGAGCCAAGTCTGTGCAAACTAACCAACGGTAGCATCACAAATACGATGATTTTAAACAGGACCTCATTTCATCGGCTCGTGTTTCCCTTGGTACGACGGGTAAGGTTTGTTGAAAATCTCCAGCTAAGAGAACTGTAACGCTGCCCATCAAACTACAATTTTCTCTTATATCTCTCAGAGTTTTGCTGAGAGCTTCTACGCCTCCTTTATGGGTCATAGTGTTATACTATAAGTTTTGTTTCTTTCAAGACTTGCGCCATATTGCTCTGCTTTGAAATGTTGCACAAAGGTGTCTCTATATACATCAGATTTACGGGTAATTTAAAAGCAGAATCAGCTGTTTTACCGCCATCCAGCAAGGTGGCTGCGATACCAGAAAAAGGAACTGCCAAGGCTACCCCGCGATTTTTCTATACTCTAGCCAATACAAATTTTAAAAGAAACATTTTACCCGTGCCTCCAGGAGCATTCAAAAGAATATTTGACCAGTGCCATTCTCGATACTATCTAAAACATTGTTCTAAATTTGATATTGTTCTGTATTTAATAAACTTTGGTTGTTGGACAGCTAATCTCTATAAGATAGTCTCTGTTTTATTATTATTATTATTATTATTAGAAAAGGGAGCAGTACGGCTCAGATAGCCCCTAGCGCGGCGCAGCGATAATGCTCATGAAGCAACGCTGTCCGCAGTCACTTTGTGGATGGGTGGCAAAGATCGCCATACCTATCTGAGCGGCTCGGTGCGTCTCCCCCCTCGACACCCAATGGGTAAAAGGGGGTAACAGATTATATATATTATTAGAAAAAATGGAGCAGAGGTCAGAGACCTATTATGCTCCTTCAAATAGATTTCCCTAAGTAGAGTTACTGATCCAATTTGTTCTTAAACATATTAACAGTTGTCACATTTACGATTTCACTATGCAAATTATTCCATTCATCAAACACCCTGTTAGGAAAGAAAAACCTTCGAACAATAGTTCTAAATGATTGCTTTTTTAATTTGTAAACGTGCCCTCGCAATTGGTTAGTGTTCACTTCAAAAAGGGTTTTGAGGTGGCACATATTTGGATTGTGAAAAATCTTGTAAACCAATATCAAGTCTCCCCTCTTCCGTCGTTGTTCCAATGATGTAAGATTTAGACATCTTAATCGGGTTTGATAATTTTGTGTTCTATAGCCCAATACCTTTTTTGTAGCCCTTCTTTGAACTTTTTCCAGCAATTCCTTATCCCGCTGTAAAATTGGTGACCACACAACATTGGCATATTCCAAAATTGGCCGTATATACGACTTAAACAATTTCAGAAATGTATCTCGTGAGGGGTGTCTAAATGCATTGAATAACATATAGGATGCAGAATTTGCTCTTCGTGCAACGTAAGCCACTTGATTGGACCAAGATAGATCAGATATTATTATAACACCTAAATTATTTTGACTATCCACCATTTTTACTGCCTCATTATCTATCATGTAAATGTGTTTGGGGTTGTTGGTAGCCAAGTGCAATACTTTACACTTGCCGTTACCCAAGCAGCAGACTGTCGTCTAATTCACGTTAATTTTTGGTCATAACTCGTCGGCGACGTCATTCGCCCAAAAAATCATGTGATAATGACGAGATTTTTATGACTTACTTCTAACGTCAATTAATGACGTCAAAAGGCCGTCTTTCCTTCGTCATTTTTTATAGATTAGATGATCAATTAAATGTGGGTCGTCGTATTCTTTAAAAAGTGTCCTTCATAATGCTTAATTATATTTAGAGCAAAAAATACAACGGCTTTATTAGAAATACACCAAAGACAAGTTTTTTCATTCTAATAACTTCTAATAAAATAATTATTTCTGAAAACGTGTTTACTCTGGAAGTGTTATTTTGTAAGTACCTGCTTGGCAAATTATAAATAGAACATCCGGGGTTGAGCGTATTATAGTGAAAAGACCCTACACACAAAGTCATAAAAATTCTTTGTCCATTCTCCCTAAAGCGGGACAAGGTTTTGAAGAATTCCTTCGTCGAATTTTGATTTTATAAAGATGTTTATAAAGTGATGATGGCTACCAGAAAAATTAGAGAGTGATTTAATATTTAGTTTTATTAAATTTATTTCATCTAATGAAAAAATAATGCTCAACTTCCGTATTTACTATACAATACATCAGATGTTTGAGGCGTGCATTCGGACTTTCCCTTTTTTCGGTATTTATATTTATTGCACTTCACAGTGAAGCATTCCAATATTTCCAGTTAGTTCTCAACCACCGAAACTTTCTCGTGTATCCGTTACTCACTTCATTTTTAACGCAGTTTTGTGAAAATTTCTGCCAATCAGTGTGGGTTGTACTTATTTACACTAGGTAAGTTAATATCTAATAAAGTAATCATTTTAATTTTTACGCGTTTCTGTTACTTTTGATAACTGTACGTAGGTAACAAACGCAGTTTTTTCAGATAAGCTGGAAAGACCACCATTAATCACTGAAGATACTCCCACTGATTATGAAGAACTTACGGTGATTGTTTTTGAAAATGAGACGCCATAAAATATTGTAAAGGTATGTTACTGTAATTTTTTATGGACTAATGCTAATGAACATAATTTTGTTCTAGATTTGAAACAAATACAAAACACATGTGCGAAACGAAAGAAATGTGGAAGGGAACGAGTGAAAAAATCTCCAACATGGAAACGTCATCAAATCTGACAACATAAAAAGAAAAGAAAAATAGAACTTATGCCGCCAAGACTACACCTAAACAAATTTTGACGAATTACAAGATTATCTTTGCCTATTAGAACAAGCAGATTTCTTTGTAAGTTAAAAAAATTCAATGAATTCATATATACATATAACATAATATTGGATATTATATACAGGTAGATGCCTGTAATACTACGATACTTTTTGGTAACTTACTATACATGGCACATTTCGCTTCATTGTAGAAGGTATTGATAACGAGATTTTCCTGATAGGCTATACGTTTTTGTCAATGTAACCATTTTACAATTATCTATTAATTTGTCTTCTGCTTTAAGCTGTAATCCCTTAAATTTAATAATAGCCAAATGTTTGCTATTGCCCACAGACGAAAAAATGATTGCATATCCATTAATCCATGCACTCTAACGGGTTTTTCTCTCCAGTGCAATAAATTGAGGCAAACTTAAAAAACTTAGGTTACTAAAATGATTGTTAAAACAGAATTAATTTTTAACGATACTTTTTTGTGGGTTGGGGACAGTCAAGTCGTCGTGAATTAGAAAGTTTTACAGTGTATTTTCAAATCAAGTAATTTCAACAATGCGATTCAATTGTCTTTTCCTTTTATTCTAGTTTTTTTTTTAATATTTTTTGTAAATAGATTTGTTTGTGTTTAAGACTGATTTATAGTTTATTATAGTTTTCTTTTAATATTCTTTGTAACTAAATAAATTTCTTTGTGTTTTTAAAACTGATTTTTCTTTAAATAGCATATTTTATTGCAACGTTTATTTTTGATTATATATTGTATATTATCCTTTTTTTTTATTATACTAATTATACTCGTAATTACCTGTATGTAGATTTGTTTGTGTTCTTAGGAGCAGTTTATCTTTAATTTGTTTAATTGACATATATTTTTTTATTTGTTTATTGAAGTTCATTATTGGTTGTACAGAACTGTAGTAAATTTAATTTTTTTACACTACATAATTTGTTTTAACTTTAAATAATATATATTTTGTTTTGGGATTTACCTGATGATTATAACGAATTATAATATTTTATTTAAGTTAAACAATATAAAAATATAAAATTATTTCAGCGTTTTATTTATTACATATTTTTTTCTAAAAATCAAAATAAAAGAAACGTCTTAAAATAGACAATAAATGCCGTCTCTAAGACGTCAGTACATCACGTCAATAGTTCGTTACAAAATGACGACTCTAAGACGTTAGTACATCACGTCAATAGTTCGTTAGAAAATGACGTCATCTGGACGAGACATTTGACCGTCATTGGTACGTCAATATTACGTGAAATCTTTGGTCACTATGACGTAATTGATGACCATTTATTCACGCGAAAAAGACGACATCATGTTGCCTGGGTATTCAACGGAATCAACCAGTCTAAGCACCAGCGGTAGACAGTGTTTAAATCCGTTGGCAGTTCTCGATAATTTTGAATAGGATTAGCATACAGTTTACAGTCATCAGCATAGAAAACATGATTTGACGAAATTAAATGAGGTATGACTTCTTCACGTCTTACAGGCTGAGGCAGACTATAATACTCTAAACATTGCCCTCCTAAAGACAACATCGTGTCTTCAATGAAAATCAGACACTTGTTGTACACTTCATTCATAATCATCTGAACACTATCTTGACACTCTAACTAAACTTAACATTTTAAATCCTCCGACAAACTGTTTTTGTATTTCTCCCATATACTCAAAGCGTCTGTTACTTGGCAAAATATCAACAAAATTGAGAACAGGTGTCGTAGCTTAAAAGGAGAATCAGAAAGAGCAGCTTCTTCCATTGTGGTATTCCAGTGCTTCTCATCTTCTAGCGAACCCATCAATAGTTTTTAAATCAGAGAATTATGTTAGCCCTTTCACTTCATGAAGAAGAAGACGAAGGTTGTAACATTCGGCGTTATTAGGGTGGACGGTGTACACTTTGCCCAAAGCCTGATCTCTTCTGACTACCGGCCAACCATCAACATTGTTTCCACGTTTTCGTCTCTCAAATTTGGTACTTTTCCACACATAGTATGAAGGGACTTCAACATAAAGAAGGGTTTTTGCAAAATTATCCGTTTTGCAAAGATCCAAAAACGTTAGAAGAGTAATTACCTGTGGATTATTTACCTTTTCAGTTACATTACTGAAGTCGTTAGAATTAAAATAGACACGCTGGCCATTTTCCAAGTGCACTGCATACATGAAAAACTGCTAGAAATCATTCATGTACAGGAAAGGCCAGGATTCTCCAGACAGCTTCAGAGCTGCTAATATATCAACCGCTTTCATATACATAATATGAATATACTCTATGTTGATGTGAGCAGTAAAAGTTCGAAACAAAACTGAATTTTACGGTACCACTCATCTATTATCTAGGGTTGAACCATGGACTTGAAACGTGAATCCACTATCCGCGGGACCTCTTCGCCGGTATTGAGGGTAGCCGTCATCGCATATTTGGGTT